CAATTGTCCTTTAATGAAGTATTTTGACAACCGTCTAGTTGGGTTTTTCCGAGTAGTAAACTATGCTTGTTTATTTAGGACTATAAATGGTTTTAACAATCGATGAAAAGATGTTTTTGGAAATTCCTTAAATTGCTTTATGACGGTTGCAGGATTAAAATAACCATTCTCGACCTTATTTTATGGTTATAGCTTAAGGAATCATTACTGCTGTGTCCTTCTATAAAATTACCCTAATAAACTGTTTTCCCAAAAGGACTCTCTGTACCCCAAAAAAGGGTGTGTCAATGTTTCTCACCTCATCTGGAAGGAACCAATCACCTTAGGTTTAACTCCCACTATTTTTTGTAACAACCCCCAAAACTGAAAATTGCAATGTAAGGGAAATTTGTTATTCAGACACAAATCCACCGCGAACACGAAAAGTTGTACTTGAAGTTTCGCAGCAGTTAAAATTACTTTATCTTTTTCACTTGACTCTTTCTTTCGAAGTGTATTGAATTGATTATTAAATATATATGTTAATGTAAAATGAGTTCCTTGTGTTTCTTTTAATGCAAACCCGATATTTATTTAATTGATTCTTTACAAATTATTTATGTTCCCGCTAAACATAATTTGGTCCTTCGAGCCGGATACAGTGCCAAGCGAGAAACATTTCGCGGGTGCAATAAACAGCTTTCGTAAGAAAGACATTGTGATTTTTTAAGTGTGTTCATCGTGCAAACATCAAGGTGTTCACTATTTAATTACAAAAACCATTCATCGTGAGAAAGAGTGTAAAAGAGACAGTGTTAAACTGCACATAGATGCAAGCAATTTCATAATCATTGAAATTATACATTGGGATTATCGTGAATCAAGTCCATCGATCTTTTTAATTCTACAACATCGAGGGACTAGAAGTCAACCACTGCAGCCATCACAATCAATTCATCACGCACCATCGTCTTGAGTGAGTAAGCATTGAATCACCATACTTCCATACATTAAATCCATTTAATTTTGATTCCTGAAAATTTGCTTCTGTTTCAAAATCACATGTACAAGCTATTAAAATGGCTGAACAAATATCAATTTTAACAAGAAACGTAGTGTTCTCAAAACGCGTTTTAACTAAATTAGAGAAAGTAATAAATGAATTTGAATCAGATCCTTTGGCAGAATTCGATCTTTTTGATTTTGAAGGTAGACTAGCAAAACACACACCATTGTTAGATAAAGCAGAGAATATTCACAGTGAATTAGAGTTGTTAAGTACCGATGAAGACTTCTTAAAGAACTGCGATGCGGAATTCACATCCATTGAGAATCGTTATTATACAATTAATGGTCGAATCAAAAGACTTATCAAAAAACATACAATTACACAAACTCCAACACGTATAGATCAAACAAGTTACCAAAGCATGCTTGAAGAATCTAATAATTCCAATCAAGGTTCATTTATTCCTCTAACAACACCATTAAACACAAATTCTAATAATGTCAACAATGAAGTCCCTGCTATACATACAGATAGTGCGAATCAGGTAAATTCCGTAAATCAAACTATGTCAAATCATACCGCAAACAGCATGGTTTTAAATTCAAATCTTCCTAAGCTTTCATTGCCGAGTTTTTCAGGCAATTTTGACACATGGTTAGGATTCAGAGACTCTTTTAATTCTATGGTACATGACAATCCACAAGTTCCGAACATTTTTAAATTTCATTATTTAAAATCATGTGTCAAAGATGAAGCAGCGGAAGTGATAGCTTCGCTCGAAGCATCTAACGAAAACTATGCAGTGGCATGGAATTTATTAACAAAACGTTACGATAATCAAAGATTTATCATAGAAAATCATATTGACGCAATTTTTAATTTACCGTCAATATCAAAAGAATTTTCGATTCGTCTTTTATTAGACTCAATTCAAAAACATTTAAGAGCTTTACGTGCATTAAAAATAAAGATCGATGATTGGGATTTACTGATCATCAACTTGATTAAAAGAAAATTAAATAATTATAATCGCGAAAAATGGGAAGAGTGTATAGGAACAACAGATATTCCGAACTTAGATAAAATGTTTTCATTTCTGAGCGTCGGGCTCAAATTGAAAACACAAGATCTAATTTAAATTCAATAAATGCAACGCGATCTTCGGCAAAACCTAGTTCGTCTTCTAATCACGGATCAAATTCCTCTAAATCATTCATTGCTTCACTATCTAACGATGAATCTAAAAAACAATCAGATTTCTCTCAAAAAGCACGAAATTGTCCTATTTGTAAATCTGATCATGCAATTTATGCATGTAAAAGATTTCTTCATTTATCACCTAAAGAACGACAAGGAGAAGCTAAGAAGGCTTCACTTTGTTTCAATTGTTTACGTACTGGTCACCGCATTGACGAATGTCGTTTAACTTCGTGTCGTAAATGTAAGGGACGACACAATACACTTCTTCACTTCGAAACAATGTCTGAAGAGTCTCAACAATCAAATTCTAATCAAAATTCATCTTCAAATACACTTGAAAAAGAAGCTAGTATCAATTGCCATGTTCGTAGTCCCTCACAAGTTTATTTAGCAACAGCCATCGTCGATGTTTTAGACAGTCAAGGAAGATATCAACCTTGTCGTGTCATGCTTGATGGAGGGGCTCAATCTTGTACAATAACGAGCAATTGTGTATCTCGTTTAGGTTTAAAACAAACTCCATTTGAAATTCCATTATTATCAATCGATGACATGAGCACAAATGTCAAATTTAAAACTTCCACCACAATTCGCTCTCGTTTAAATAAACAAAAATTTGACGTACAATTTTTAGTAGTTAAAAAAATTGTTGATTCAATGCCCGCAGTGCCTTTAAATAGAAATGAATTAGACATTCCAAAAAATCTTTTCTTAGCTGATCCAAAATTCAATGAACCATCTCCAATCGATATAATTATAGGAGCAGAATATACATACAATTTCTTAGGTTCTGGTAAATTGAGTATCAAGGGACATTCTGCTGTTTTACAAAACACGACACTAGGTTGGATATTAGCAGGTAGAATTTTCGACGTCAAACAAAGACACAATACAAATTCACAAGCGTCAATTTGCAACTTTTTACACAATACAAGTTTACCTCTCTTGTGGGAGCTTGATCAAGTTCAACCCACCTGTACGCGTTCCAAAGAAGAAGAAGAGTGCGAGACACATTACAAAGAAAACACATTTCGCGATGATTCGGGTTCTTACGTAGTTAAATTACCCTTTAATGAGAAGGTAAAAATGTTAGGCGAATCAAAAAGGATGGCCTTTCAAAGATTCTATTCACTTGAGAAAAGATTTGAAAGGGATCCATTGACTAAAAAATCATACTTAGAATGTGTGAACAATTATTTAGATGAGGGACACATGAAAGAAGTAACTGATAAGGCATCTTTAGATAGTGGATACTACCTTCCTCACCACGCAGTCAAAAAAGAAGGTAGTCTTACGACTGAAACTCGAGTAGTATTTGACGGTTCCACCAAAACTGATACAGACCTCTCTTTAAATGACTGTCTTAAAGTCGGTCCCACAATTCAAAATGATATTTTTTCAATATTCACGAGATTCCGTTCTCACCCAGTCGCATTGACAGCTGACATCAAACAAATGTACAGACAAGTAAAAGTACACCCTTCCGATAGTATATATCAAAGAATTTTATGGAGAAACAATCCTAATGAGCCAATTAAAATCTATGAATTAAATAGGGTAACCTTTGGCACAGCATGCGCACCTTTTCTTGCAACTCGCACTCTGCTACAATTAGCAGAAGACGAGAGGGAGTCGTTTCCAGTAGCTTCACACACTCTTAAAAGGGACTTTTATGTTGATGATCTTGTCACTGGTGCTGAATCATATGAAAAAGCACTTTCACTCAGAAATAATTTAATGGAACTGTTAAAAAAGGGCGGTTTTAATCTTAGAAAATGGGGCTCAAACGATAGTAGATTAACACGTGACTTTCCGGGCAATCCAACAATCACACACATGTCATTAGATCCATCAGACACTATAAAAACATTAGGCGTTTATTGGGATTCAAAAACTGACTCAATTACGTACACAGTTAATATTCCTAAGGTCAATGAGAAAATAACAAAACGTTCAATTTTGTCACAAGTAGCAAAATTATTTGATCCCTTAGGATTATTAGGTCCGATTATAGTTAAAGCTAAAATTTTGATACAACTCCTGTGGAAAGCAAAACTTGAATGGGATGAACCCGTTCCTCACAAGTTACAAACTTCTTGGTTAGAATATAAAAATGAATTAGAACTCATCAATGATGTACGATTCGAGAGATTTATTGTTATTCCAAATGCAAAAGAAACACAAATCCATGGTTTTTGTGACGCAAGCACAAAGGCATATGGAGCTTGTGTGTACTTGCGCTCAACAGACGATCAGGGAAATATTCAATGCTCTCTTATAGCTGCAAAATCTCGCGTTGCGCCTTTAAAATGCGTAACATTGCCAAAATTAGAATTGTGTTCAGCTTTAGTATTGACAAAGTTGTATACATCAATCGCTCAATCGATTCCAATGTCCTTTAATAAAATATTTTTTTGGTCAGACTCGACCATTGCTCTTAATTGGATCAAGACACAGCCATACAATTTACCCACATTCGAAGCAAACAGAGTAGCAGAAATTCAAAAGGTCACTCCAGACCAATGGTTTCATGTTCCGACTGAATGCAATCCAGCAGATCTCATATCCAGAGGTCAAGGTCCAAGGGAGTTTGTACAAACAACCATTTGGCGAAATGGTCCAGTTTGGCTCTCTCAACCTCCCGAAAAATGGCCAAAATCAAGATGCATGGTTTCAGACCAAGCAAAAAAGGTGGTCACAGAACCTGTCACAACACTGACCTTGACTAACTTTGTTGAGGATCAAAGTTATGACCACTGTATAAACATCTACTCTAAACACAGTAATTTAAAGTCGTTAAAGAGAATCTTTGCTTATTGTCTCAGATTCATTCACAACATAAAGATAAAAAATGCTTCACAAAAGGTTAAGGGTCCTTTATCAATTCAAGAACTTGATGAAGCATTGTTAGGTTTAATCAAATTAACACAAGTTTTCGGCAGAAATTAAAACTCTCTCTCAGGGTAAATCACTCGATAACAAGAGTAAATTATTAAGCTTAAACCCATTCCTCGATAACGGACTAATTAGGGTGGGGGGTAGGCTTGAACTAGCAGATATACCATACAAAAAGAAACATCCGATTGTTTTACCGCGGAATAATTTTTTAACAAAACTCATCATTCGCGAAGAGCATGTTAACAAAAAACATGCCGGAGTTCAAGCAACCTTGTATGGCGTTAGAGAATCCTTTTGGCCTATTGACGGTCGCAATGTTACGCGACATGTATTACATCAATGCGTTAAATGTTTTCGAGCGAAACCCCGCGGAGTTGACCACATTATGGGCAATTTACCTGAAAAGCGCTTAAGTTTTGAACGATCCTTTCTCAATGTAGGTGTCGATTACTGTGGGCCTTTTTATGTAAAACAAAGGCGTCACAGAAATCGAGGCAAAGATAAGGTTCACATTGCAGTTTTTATTTGCTTCGCTACAAAAGCTGTTCACTTTGAAGTCGTTAGCGATGAAACTACAGATGCCTTTCTTGGCTGCTTGAAACGTTTTTTCTCACGCAGAGGAAAAGCAAAAACAATTCACTCTGACAATGGTCGAAATTTTGTTGGTGCTAATAATGAATTGAATAGACTTTATGAATTTGTAGAAACTGAAATTAAAAGCGATGCAGTACGACAATTCTTATTGGAAAACAAGGTTAAGTGGTTTTTTAATCCTCCCAGTTCACCTCACTTTGGCGGTTTGTGGGAGGCCTCAGTAAAATCTTTGAAATATCATTTAACTCGAACAATAGAGAACACACTGCTTACTTATGAGCAGTTAGAAACATGTGTTGTTGAAATAGAAGCAATTTTAAACTCTCGTCCTCTTACACCTATGTCCTCTGACCCAAATGATATACTTCCCTTGACTCCCGGTCATTTCTTAATTGGTGATTCTTTGACGAGCTTTCCTCAAAGGGATCATGAAGGAATCAACATCAATCGTCTGTCAGATTGGCAAAGGGTGGAGCAACTTCGACAACATTTCTGGTCCAGATGGTACAAGGAGTACCTAAATGAGATGCTATCTCGCAACAAATGGAAGGGGATGTCTAAGCAAGACAAAATCAAAATTGGTACAATGGTAATACTTTCAGAATCCAATGTACCTCCTATGTGCTGGAAATTGGGTCGCATCACGCAAATATTTCCTGGAAAGGATGGAGTTATTCGTGTAGTGTCAGTGCGCACCAAGTTCGGCGAATATACGCGCAGTGTCCACAAAGTGTATCCACTTCCAATCTACGAGCAAGAATGAATTGCAAAATAATGCATATCGAACTATATTGATTATATCAGTGAAAGACTATGAACTCTTTTTAATTTTGTATTCAAAATAAAATCACTCTTATTTTTTCTTATTGAACTCAATCGTTCAAAGTCGGCAGGATGTTACGTCGTAACAATTATTATATTTTTGTCAATTGTCTTTAATGAAGTATTTTGACAAGCGTCTAGTTGGGTTTTTCCGAGTAGTAAACTATGCTTGTTTATTTAGGACTATAATGGTTTAACAAATCGATGAAAAGATGTTTTTTGGAAATTCCTTAAATTGCTGTATGACGGTTGCAGGATTAAAATAACCATTCTCGACCTTATTTTATGGTTATAGCTTAAGGAATCATTACTGCTGTGTCCTTCTATAAAATTACCCTAATAAACTGTTTTCCCAAAAGGACTCTCTGTACCCCAAAAAAGGGTGTGTCAATGTTTCTCACCTCATCTGGAAGGAACCAATCACCTTAGGTTTAACTCCCACTATTTTTTGTAACAACCCCCAAAACTGAAAATTGCAATGTAAGGAAATTTGTTATTCAGACACAAATCCACCGCGAACACGAAAAGTTGTACTTGAAGTTTCGCAGCAGTTAAAATTACTTTATCTTTTTCACTTGACTCTTTCTTTCGAAGTGTATTGAATTGATTATTAAATATATATGTTAATGTAAAATGAGTTCCTTGTGTTTCATTTTTAAATGCAAACCCGATATTTATTTTAATTGATTCTTTACAAATTATTTATGTTCCCGCTAAACAACTGTGATTCACCCCATTCCCACTTTACGTCCTTCTTTGACAATTCCGATAGAGGTTTAGCTAATTTAGCGTAGTCCTTGATAAAACGGCGATAATATCCGGATAGCCCTAAGAAGCTTCTAATGTCTTTTTGCGTCTTAGGTTTAGGGAAATTTTTAATGGCTTCGATTTTGTTGGGGTTAGGTTTGACGCCATTCCCGCTAATAATGTGCCCAAGGTATGCCACTTCCGTTTTTAAAAACTCCCACTTGTCGGGTTGAAGTTTTAGATTTGCTTCCCGAAGCTTAGTGAAAGCCTCCGGGCTCTTACATCATGCTCTTCAAGTGTGTCCGAATAAATAATAATGTCGTCTAAATAGACAAATGCCTCAGTATCGAGCATGCTACTTAGTACACTATTAAGTAATCGTTGAAAAGTGGGAGGAGCGTTCTTTATGCCCATGGGCATCCTGTAATACTCATAGTGACCGTTTCTCGAAGAGAATGCCGTTTTGTGTCGGTCATTGGGGTGTGTCTCAACTTGGTGAAACCCGCTTGCTAAATCAAATACGGTAAAGAACCTGGCTTTTCCCAAGCGATCGAAAATTCCACTAATATTTGGCAGTGGAAATGCGTCTCTAATTACCTTCTCATTTAGGGCCCTATAATCGATTACAACCCTCAACTTCTTTTCTCCTGAAGCGTCGAGTTTTTTCGGCACAATTAGGAGTGGAGAATTATAATCGGAATTAGAGTGTCCTATTATCCCACTATCGAATTGCTTTAGGAGCTGCGCATCTATTTGATCCAAGGCCTCATTAGGGGACCTATATTGTTTTTTTCGGATCACTTGGTCGTCGATGGTCGGAATTCTATGCTGTACCAAGTGTGTACAGGTGAGCATTTCTCCATTAGGATGGAATATGTCAGAAAAGTCTTCCGCCCATCAATTTACCATTTCTTTACACTCCGGAGTCAAATGAGAGGTATGTAGGGACTCTTTGACTTTACGGACCCTATCAAAAATTCCCATGTCCGTATTCTTCTGCAATTTCTCGGAATCGAAATCAGAAAATTCTTCTCTGGGGAATTTACAAAAGTCAAATGGAATGAGCTTCTGTGGTTCTAATCGTAAGTCAATGTCATCCTCAGTAGTGTTAATGGCCATCGCATAACATACACCATCTTTACTCGAAACTAGGACTTCTCCCAAATAAACACCTTCTGAGGCCTGCACGCGCGGGAGATAGCCTTCTTTCAACTCCGGGTTAAGCACATCAATCGCTATTGGTTTTCTGGTTCGAGCTTTAATTCTTAGTATTCTTGAGAATGGTTTGATTTGAGGTCTCAACTTTTCTCTAGCTTCCAGTGATTCGCGGTCAACAAAGCTACTTTTTACAACTTGAAATTCGATCGGAACATTGAGGACTGTAACCTCGACAGTTCCCAATGTTTGGACCGAATGATTGGTAATACCCGTAATCTCAGTGCACTTGCTTCGATCAAGTGTGAGCTCGGGTTTCAAAATATTGGCTTTAATTAAATTCGTGTCAGAGCCGGGGTCAACTAGGAAGTTCATCTTTGTTTCTTTAAACTCAGGTGCATCTAATTGAACTACTCGGGAGTCCCCTCCCCTGGACTTTGCTCTACGGATCCAACTTGGTCCGCGGAAAAGTGGACGGACCTCTGACGCTGGGGAGTTGGACTCGGGGCCGCGTCGGAGCGTCAAGTCTGTTGGAAGTTTAAATCCGGTTTTTGGAAACTCGGATTTACTTGTGGGCCTGGCGAGGCTGAGCGAGGTGGGGTAGTACTCGGTCTATAGCCTTGTGTCGGTGCCCTGTATTGTTGGTACTGTTGTTGGGGCTGTACCGGCGTGTAAGGTGCAGCATACGTCGGGGGCTGCTGATACGGCATGGGCTGGATAGGTGGCGCAGAAGCCATTGGTTGAGCAAGCGGCGGCATCATCGATTTATAAAATGCTGCCAATTGCTCCGGAGTGAATTGCGTTACCCCGCTGGGTTAGCTTCGGCTAGGTCTAGGGCCTCTATTCTCACTATCACTATCACTTTTTCTTTTTTCTATTGACACTTGCCCTTCCACCTGACGACTGTACGGGCTAAGGGATCGAGCTCTATCGTCTGCTCGAGTAATGTCGTAGAAGGACGACCTAACTCTTTCATTATAGTTACGGCGTTCTTCCGCGTAAAGGGCATGTTCAAAAGCCTCATCAAGGTTTCTGGGATTGCGCGTGTCAACAATCGTGGACATTTCATCGGGCAGACCCCTAACAAAAGCACGGAATGCGTTCTCCACTACAGGTTGCATGATTATTTCGCTTTCGGATATTTCATGTCCGCGTTCGTTGACACCAACTTCGTTTCGAACAGCTTCGAAGTAAGTTTTATTGTACTTAAATTCTAACGCGTGTCTTGCACCGCTTATGTGTCCTCTTAATCTGTCATTTATGGTCTCAAAACGCCGGCCACGAACACTGTCTCGCGCTGAACCTCGTAGCTTGCTCAAAACGGCTTTGAGGAAACCAGGTTCCGAAACTTCAGGTATGAACGCGGCTCTGTTCTCTATTTCTTGTAAGAAGTCTTTGAGAGGGGGTTGGCGGCCATCGAACAAAGGAATGTTGTTGGAATTCGTTTGTACTGACATTTGCTCAATTACCGAGACAACATTGTTGGTGTGATCTAAATGTGGAGGGTGGAGTCCTACGTTTGGCAATTCTCCTTGTACATCTGTTTCGTTTCTCTAAGCGCTTAACCCTACACCGCAAGGAAAGATGGTGTACGAATAATTGTTGATAGTAGATCTCCAAATTTTCTAATTGCTCATTTAGTTCGGACCACTGATTTGGGGAGAAACCGGGCGCTACCAAAGCTAAACGAGGAAACATGAGACTGTTTCGTAGTCTCTATGCTACGGATTCTTAATTTATTTTTCGGTACTACTGAAACTATCCAGGCGGATCCAGATTTCCTCTATGGCTCTCCTTATTTTGACTACTTCTATGGGGATAACTCCCGGGGCGGAGGAATCTCGTCTTTAAAAACGGGATGTTGGAGCTCAAGCTTAGGGACTACGTCAGGGATTGATTTCTGGTCATACATTAGAGATCTTAGTCCAAAATCATAATGTCACTGTCATAATCTACAGTCGTGTCAGAATCGTATAGCTGTTCTAGGTGTTCGTTACTAGGTCCCGGTCGAATGTGGTTTTCCTGAGCATACGCTGTCTGTCTGAGTGCTAGGGATTCTTCAATATCAACGTCTATAACCTCATGCACAATTGGAATTACAGCAGGAGCAGGTAGGATAACATCCAGAATTATTCTAGGGGTGGGTTTAACTGAACACACTGGTCGGATTTTGATTATCGGGTGTGTGAGCTTATAAAAAATTTCAGAACCTGGTTTAATTCCCGATTTTTGGGAGTGCTTAAATCCGGCTTTCTTGCCTCTCTTTGGTTTCGATGGACCAGAAGACATTTTTATTTTGACATATTGAAAGAATTCAAAACAAAACAAAATTATCTGTACAAGGGAAGAAAATTTTGAAAAAGTAAGGTTTACAACCGCAGCCGAGGGGCTTTCCAAAACGGAAATCTTCCGGAAATCTTCCGGAAATTTATTTTTTTTTTACGGAAATCATCCGGAAATCTTCCGGAAATTTATTTTTTTTTTACGGAAATCTTCCGGAAATCTTCCGGAAATTTATTTTTTTTTTACGGAAATCATCCGGAAATCTTCCGGAATATTATTTTTGTTTAGAAATTATTCGGAAATTTTCCGGAAATTTATTTTTTTTTACGGAAATCTTCCGGAAAATTTCCGGAAATTTATTTTTTTGTACGGAAATCTTCCGGAAATCTTCCTGAAAATTTCCGGAAATTTATTTTTTTTGTACGGAAATCTTCCGGAAAACTTCCGGAAAACTTCCGGAAATTTATTTTTTTTTACGGAAATCTTCCGGAAAATTTCCGGAAATTTATTTTTTTTTTACGGAAATCTTCCGGAAATCTTCCGGAAAATTTCCGGAAATTTATTTTTTTTGTACGGAAATCTTCCGGAAAACTTCCGGAAATTTATTTTTTTTTACGGAAATCATCCGGAAATCTTCCGGAAAATTTCCGGAAATTTATTTTTTTTGTACGGAAATCTTCCGGAAAATTTCCGGAAATTTATTTTTTTTTTACGGAAATCTTCCGGAAAATTTCCGGAAATTAATTTTTTTTGTAC